GAATTTGTGCTATGGCTCAAGGGGTAGAGTTCTAGCCTTGAGCTGAAGAGCTGAGGGACAGTGCCCAGGCCCAGAGTTCAGGCCCCACGACCGAACCCAAAAAAAAAAAAAAAAAGATTCTGGTTGAACTAACTTCACAGCCCTTGCTTTGCAAGGATAAATCATCCAATCAGAGCCTTCCAGCTGCCCACTAAAGGATGGGTCATCCAATCAGAGCAATTCTAGCTCCCCCTCCTCTGCAGGGATTGGTTCAGGAGCAAACTTGGGACTAGTGGGCATCCAATGACAATGCAGTCCTGGGACATTTTTCTGGGAGCCTAGAGGCCCTGAGCTGGGATTATGGGACTATCTTGTCACTGAGGCCTATGAACAATGCTAACACAGCTGAGCCTGAGGATGAGAGAGAAAAAGCTGTATGCGCTTGGTTCCAGCCACATCAGACCTCCTTTGGACAGTAAAGAATATGCGTATGGTCAAGCCCATACATTCCTTCTTTTTCTATTAAGCCACTCTGAGTTAGCCTTCCATCACATATAGCAGAACCGCCTTGCATTAAAAACTAGGTTCTGCTGTGATTTTGGACATGTATCTCCAATGCTAAACCAAGTTTGCTTAGCTATAAAAAATGTTAAATAATGCGTGAAATGCTCTTAGCATGCAGATCAAAGATATTATGGAATCCTACACAATAGTGTTTTGCTGCTGTCCTGTCCTATTAGGAAGAAAGTGGTGGTCTCAGGAGACAAAGGGGCTGCAGAAGTTAAGCTAAAGCAGACACATGTGAGAGCGTGTGCCTGTTAGCCTAACCTCCTCCATCTTCCTACTCAGTCTGCTTAGACCTTAGACCTTCTGCAAAAACAAAACTGCCATTCCCCAAAATCTAGTGACTCAGGCCTTTTCCCCAAAACAGGTGACACAGGCTTTCCCCCCCAAAAAAAAAGGTGATGCAGATAGCTGCAATCTTAAATGGCAGCCTTTCCCCAAAGTGTAATTTCCCTCTCCCTTGTTTGTGCAGATACAACTATAAATGTTAACCCCTTCCACAACACAGTTTCCTGCTCTCACATTCCACAAGAACCCAGCCCAGCTGCTACTCTCTGCCCTCCAGGTAGCCTGTCAGGTTACTGACATTCAACTCCTTTTTCCTTGTCTGTGATCGTGTGTCCAAGGGATTTTCTTGAGGAAGCCTTTCATTGGTGCCGTGAGTTGGATCAGGCCTTCCTGTCGACCTTGCTCTTCCTTCTCTTGGGGAATCTGAGCTGCTTTGGGAACCCTGACCCCTCTGGTCCACCTAGAAAATCACCTGAGGTAATCTCTCCCATCTCCGAGCACTCTGATCTCACCTCAAACAGTGGCCATCTACATCTACTGATCTTTCTTGGTGAGTGAGTTCCGTTCCAGAAACCCAGATTCAGATGCTGACTTGGTATGAAGCTCTGGGACTCCCTGTGGGCCTTTGCCTTCCAGGCCTTTGCCCAGGATATGTGGATCACGGGTGATGACCCCGCTCCCTGTCTCCTCAGTACTTTTACTGGTTGAGGAACTTTGGGGGATGCCCACTGTCCCTCTTAACTGGTACCGTTCCCTCCTCACACATCCCCTCCCACTCCTCCTTTGGGATGTGTTCTTAGCAGGCTCATTCAGGTGTGTAACCAAATTTGGCCCATTTACACTGTTGACAATGAGTACACCACCCTTCCTCCCTTTAGCCCCCCCACCACTTGAACCAGCTCAACCCAACCTCCCTCACAGCAACAACCAGACTCCCTCTCTACATTTCTTCCAAGTTGGGACACTCCTTTGGGGTGTCTCCTATGATCCTTACATGTCCTTTTCATTAAAGGACTAACCTCCTGCTCCCCTGCTGAAATTCTTCTGACTTTAAAACCTCTGAGCTGGTCTGGGAAGGTGGCTCAGTGGTAGAGTGCTTGCCTAGCATGTATGAAGCTCTGGGTTCGATTCCTCAGTTCCACATACACAGAAAAAGTCGGAAGTGGCACTGTGGCTCAAGTAGCAGAGTGCTAGCCTTGAGCAAAAGAAGCTTAGAGACAGTGCCCAGGCCCTGGTTCAAGCCCTAGGACTGGCAAAATAAATGAATAAAATAAAATAAACCTTTGAACCAGGCACTGGTGGCTCACACCTGTAATACTAGCTACTCAGGAAGCTGAAAACTGAGGATCTTGGTTAAAAGCCAGGCAGGAAAGTCCATGAGACTCTTATCTCCAATAAACCACCAGAAAATTGCAAGTGGCGCTGTGGCTCAAGTGGTAGAGTGTTTGCTTCAAGCTGAAGAGCTGAGGGACAGCACCCAGGCCCAGAGTTCAAGCCCCACGACTGACAAAAAACAAAACAAAACAAAAATCCTGTCTGTTTCCCTCAGTCTCTTCTCCAGTACACCCACACTCTGTTACTGGGTGACCCTGCTTTTCTGCTTTTCTGACTTTCTGCTTGTCTGTCTCCTGTTTTATTGCTTGCTCACTTAATAGAGCGCCACCAAATTCTCTTACCATCCTGATTTGTTTCTTGCCATTTTGGCCATGTGGTGGGTTTTCACGCGTGCCCCCTCATCTCAACTTCTAGCAAGTGTTTAAAGGTTAATTTGTGTGCTGAGGTGTCTTGTTACCAAAATGTTTTAAAGGTTTTCTGGTAATTGTCTCCACAGGCCAAAAAAAATAATAAAGTGACAATTTTAGAAGATAAGAGTTTATGAGTAAAGTTAGTAAATTTGGTACGTAACTAAGTTGGCTGTGATTTAAATTAAGGTCAAGATTAGTACACTAGTGGGCTGGGAAGGTGGCTCAGTGGTAGAGCGCTTGCCTTGCATGCTCAAGGCCCTGGGTTCGATTCCTCAGTACCACATAAGCAAAAAGAAAAAAGCCAGAAGGGGCGCTGTGGCTCAAGTGGTAGAGCGCTAGCCTTG